TACGATTGCACAAGCAAGTGGCTGTGAGGACTCAGTAGCTAAGTGGATAACGCGATGGCGTTTGAAGAGAACAGTACTGGGTTGGAGTACCAGACAGTGAACATCAACTGTAAGGTGCAGGCACGTGCAGCTGACCAGTGTCAAATAGGAGGAAACGTGCCTCCTGCATTCCACTGCTAACCACTATCCATGTTTGCTGAGAATGCTTGTGAATTAATGTGATATCGAGGCAATACGCACAGTATGCACATATGCCAATAACACACTGATCAATTGCAGTGCTAAATAACAATGAGAAGATTCAAGTGAACAATACCAATTGTATTTAAACTTCACTTGATTGCCCAAGCAATTGACTATCAAGACTCAGTAGCTAAGTGGATAACACGATGACGTTTGAAGCGAACGATACTGGGTTCAAATCTCAGCTGAATAGTCCCAAATAAGAATAAAAAAACGCACATCAAACTGTATTCCACTACTAATCACTATCCATCTTTGCTTATAAATCAACGGATAGCCTACTTATATGCAACCAATTCTATCCTTTTGTCTTTTCAATTATTCATACAATTAAATCTTGTCAACAACAGCAAAAAAAGTGTTAGGTCATAGAATAATGAATATCGATTATTGTCCTACACTTTTTGTTTGTTTGTTTGTTGTTGTTCTTGTTTAAAACAATCAACGAGATCATTTATTTTCATTTTAAAATGATGTTAACTTTGTGTTTTTTTATTTTTCTTTTTCTGTTTTATCAATTAGTCCAAGCCTACAGACATACATACATAGATACATACAGACATACAACCAAATAGATACCTATACACATAGTAACTATCAAAGTGATATATACTTTTTTTGAGGGGGGGGTTTAGTCAAATCATAATTTGAATAAAAAATATCATTTGAAAAAAAATGAAAAAAAAAGAAAACAAAAAAATTTTTTTCTCTCCTGATAAATACGAGTGAAAACTTTTGAAAAGAAAAGGAAAAAAAGAAAAAAGAGAAAAGAAGAGAAAAGAAAAGAACCATATTTAGAAAACAAAAAAAGTTAAATAAACTAATTTACTTGTCATACTTTCACTTTTGTATATCATCAATCTTAATATTGATAGTCATGGTCAATGAATAGAATTGAATACTAATACTATGATGACTACTAGTAATGTTACTATTATACGTGGATACTACAAACAGTAATAATAATAATAATCATAATAGTTACTTCATAATTGACTAATACGCAATATACAACTACTGATTTATGTTTGAATTGGAAGAATCTATTTCTATACAGAACCATAGGCTACTTTGTTCCGGTTATGTATATGTATGTATATGACTTAAAGGCATAAAGAGAGAAGATAGAACATTGAAAACATCAACAACAACAACAACAACAAAATTCCTCAGTCACCTAGATAAAAACCATTATTTATAGCTACTAAAAAGAAATGAAATTTTATTTATTATGTAACAATGGATTATAATACACTATGATGTATCCTTTGAATAAATATAGGTATATAATAAAAATGAAAATAATATATCTATGTAGAGACAACTATCAACATCTAATATAGTCTAGCATTACATGAACAAATAAGATAGGTTCTGAGTTCGAATCTTTAGGGGCGAGATCGTTGATGCGCACTGATAAAGAGTCCTGTAATAGGAGGAGGAAACAGTCATTCAGTGCTTCCAAGTTTTTGATGGTGGTCTAGCTTTAAATAACTTGGGGTTTCAACGACTGAAAATACTATAATATCCACATAAAAAAACCTGTTCTGATACTAATTAAGATATATTCACTAATGACTGGCTTCAAGAGGTATATCCTGGAGTTTTAGTGAGAAACTCTGACCAGTGTTCAGCCGTGTCTGTTGTGAGATAGTAACTTACTAATGAAAATGGTGGATATGTCGCTCAATTTTATAGATTGCTTGAGATAAGACATTAACACTGTTGGATCTCGACCGGTTCAGTGTTCTAGGGGTTAAACCTTCGTGCGCGAGATTGAAGGCCTTGAATTCGGATCCCGCTAAAGGGATCGTGGAGGCTCACTGCTGAGGAGTCACACAATGGAATGGAACGGCTATCCAGTGTTTCCAGGTTCTCCATGGTGGTCTAACATCAATCGCTTCATGATCTTAATCAAAAATCTTAAAACTGTAACTCTTGAAAAACTTATAAGTAACGCTCACTAACTGATAAGTTAAGGTTGTTCACATTCCCCAGTTAAGTATAATATCTTTATCACATAGTTGAAACTATATGTCTAATGTATGTTATTACAGACTGTTAACTAATTACTTTTATCTTTTCTTTGTTGATGTACATGTGCCTGAACACATGCTTAAATGACTACAAAGAGGTTTTCCCATGGTTGCCTAGCTTCAATGAACTCATGATCTCAACTATTGAAATTACTAGTTAAAGTTGAGTGTTTAACAAACCAATACCATGTCTTTGAAGCTACAACGCATTGAATTTAAGTAGGAATATAATGAATGAAATACTGTTTATGAACTTCAATAAAATTGTATCTGATTAACCCATTTGTTCATTTGATAGCATATGAAAAGTTAGGATATATATTATATGAAAACGTCGATATTCAGAAAAAGTCATTGTATTATATGCAAAGATGGATAGTGGCCAATAGTGAGATCTAGTTTGACTCGCGTTTCTTCCTACTTGGAACTTATCAGCTGGATATACCTGCATCTTAGAATGGATATTCACTCTGGGAGTCGAACCCAATTACGCACAGTATGTATATATGCCAATAAGACACTAATCACTTATAGTCCTAAACATTAATAGGAAGATTCAAACAAAGAATATCAAGTGAATTTAAAAATCATTGTACTTAATGGATCATGATCTGATCTAAGATACTCATGGATTTTATATTGAAAAAAATTAATAGGGAACTGTTATTTCATAAATTGATGAATCGATAATATATGCGATTTATGACTTTATATGAATCCTTTGAATGAAACGTCTCTTTATTTTTAGGCATCTTGTTTTTGATATTTCCATTTTCTGATTTGAGAATTGTATACTACTGTATAAAATTACGATTTTATGGTTTAAAACTTTGTGATTTTATTTTGAGAAGGGGTTTTGTGGAGACTTTAGAAATTTCATTGATTGAAATCATGAGTCCATTGAAGCTAAACCACCATGGAAAACCTGGAAGCACTGGATGGCCGTTTCGTACTAGTATGGGACTCTTCAGCAGTGCGCATCCACGATCCCGCACCCCACCGCGAGATTCGAACTCAGGACCTATCAGTCTTGCGCCAGGTGCTTAACCAACTAGACCACTGAGCCAGCCGGCATCTAATGATGTTAATGTCAAACTTCAAACAATCCACGAAGTTGCTCCACTGTACTGTATTGTCTTCAGTGAGTTGGTATCTCACAACAGACTTGGTTGAACTCCACTGGTAACGACTTCTTACTAGAACTCCAGTAGTATCTTTTGAATTCAGTCACTAATGAGATGATTATTATCAGAAGGGGTTTTGTGGAGTTTTTTAAAAATTTCACTAATTGAAATCATGAGTCAATTGAAGCTAACTGACGAGACTATAATTTATGAACGAGCCAATTAAATTCACGATCATAGGTCTTGGATTTCAGTGCGAAATTCACTCATCCATTTGGCTAACTAGCATCTTGACATTATAGATGATGTTAGTTGATGATGAAAACCCTATATCTGATTCTTACACTTAATTATAAATCACAATCATTATCCTTTATACAGGTTTATAACCCTCAATTAGCCCTAGTCAGTAGGTGAACATTTTCAAAGTCACTTTAACCTCACTCAATAGTCGTTCATAACTTCTAATCTCACCATTTAACTCAATACATATTTGATTTTTAATTACATTTTCAATAAGAATTCATTGATACTTTATTAAAAACGTATTTATGAACACGTTACTACTCATAAGTAATAATATATAATAAATGAAAAATTATCTCTATTTATAGCTTCTACAAAGCACATTATAACAATCATCAATAGAATACTTAATGTTAACCTCATCATCAATGATGAATCTGATAAACTTTTGATTATTATCATATTAGTACAGTATGATCATGATCGAATAAGTGATTTAGATAAAGATTAAATATCTAATTGCTTTGATAACGACTTATCATTTGAATTATGATGTAGATTTTCAATTATTAAAAAGATGGGGATTCTTTGTATAAATAAACGTTGGATAGATAAACTTTTTTCTTTCATCCCCTCCACCCCCCAAAGTACTTACTTTGTATTGTGTACTCATATTGTGTATCATCAATGTTTTTGTGAGAATTTTAATCATTTAATGGTAGATTAGAACTAGAGCATAATAGAAAACTTGGAAGAACTGAACAACTGTTTGATCCTAATATGAGACTCTTCAACAATTTACATCTATAGTCTCATAGTACTTCCAGGATTTCCATGCTGGTCTAGCTTCAACTGACTCATGATCTTAACCATTGAAATTTAATATTAAATAAATATTTATTTACCATTGTAGAAAACCTGAAAGTACTAGATGTCTTGTTTCATTCTAATATGAGACTCTTTAACAATTTGCATCTATGATCTTATAATACTTCTAGATTATCTATAATGGTCTAACTTTAATCCATTCATGAATTCATTAAATAAATATAATAATAATTTCAATGGTTAAGATCATGAATCAGTTGAAGCTAAATCACCATGGAAAATCTGGAAGCATTGAACGACCGTTTCGCCCTATTGTGAGACTCCTCAGTAGCAGTGCGCATCCACGACCTCGCCCCCTACGAGATTCGAACCTAGGACCTACTGACCATCCAATACTTCCAGGTTTTCCATAATGGTCTAGCATCAACAGATTCATGATCTTAACCATTAAAATTACTTATCATATCAACAAAAACTTCTTCTAATAATCAATATAATAATAAAACAAGAAATCATGACTTACCACCAAGTTTCATAATTCTTATAATAGAATTATATGCATAATTTGTATATTCAACAGGTAATTGTGTAATTTTGGAAAATCCAGACCAATCTGGTTGATTTAAAAAAAATATATATTTTTTATTTTTATGAACATTAATCCAACATCGTCCAGGATCTGGAAATATACTAAATTGTCCTATTCTTAATAAATGATTAATACGTATAGGAAATCTACTATATTTAACTGTTTTTAATATATTTTGTACTAATAAACTAATATTATATAATGGACCAAATTGACGACGATATATTTGTATTGGCCAACCAATAATAACATAATCAGCTAATAATGTACTAGTTTCAACATCATCATTAAAACGATATCTACATGGACGTTTATAATCAGGTGGTTTAAAATGATAAATAGATTGTATTGGATTAGTATATAAATGATTTGATTCAATCAATTCATTAGTTGTTGATGTTGGTGTTGTTGTTGTTGTGGTGGTGGTGATGGTGGTGATATTATTCATTGTTACTGGGTATAATGTCATATTTTTATGTTTAGTATATTTGGTTGATATACATAATACTGTATTCATGATTAATAATAATATATAACATTTACTAATAATTAATAGATATGAATTATGAGGATGAATAGAATAATGTTTGAATATTTTTTTATAATCATATTGAATAATACATTTCCAATATTGATTTATAAAATGAAAAAAATATTTTAATCGATTTAATACATGGATATGTGTTGCTATGGTGATTATAAAATATCTATGATAGATATAATGAATAAGAATATTAAATTTCATATAAGATATAAAGAATAAATGTTGTAATTTATCATTAATATCATTGATTAATGTTAGTAACACATTAAATAATTGAATGAATTTTTTAGGAATGTAACTTAGCGTATTCTTACTTAATAATAACCATAGTGATTTATCAATATATTGATTAATTGATAATTGATCATAAATCGATAAATGTTTTCGAATAATATAAAAATATAATTGATAGATTACATTTGTAATATCATTATATAATAAATGTAATCGATTATGTAATATAGTTTTCCATTGACTTACATTAGTTAATGATAATAATAATAATACTAATACTAATACTACTAATAGTAATAATGATAGTAAATGCAATTGATTTCTATATTGATTTATTGTTGAATATGATTGAATTGATTGAAACATTGAATAATATTTATCATGAATAATACAATATATAATAATAATAATAATAATGAATAAATCATTATAATTGTTTCATTGATTAATAATGAAATTCAAAATATATTACTGAAAGAATAATAATGAGTAGAATTTGAATTAAGTAGTATATATTCATTGACATGTAGAAAAATCCATTGTCATAATGTAATAATGAGCCGATAGAAACTAATATACATTAATTTATGAAAATGTTCATTTCATTAATAATAATAATATTTATTTATTATATAAGAAAATTTTATCCGGTATCTATGACGTAATGATTAAATATTTCATGTATCATTTAGATTAGAAATACATAATTGGTTATTTCAATTAAATTAGTCCCATCAACTAATCAACATTGTTTGCATAGTAATGACAAATCTAATGTTATAAGTCAAGGGTAGTGCAAATATGATTGTAGTTTATTCAATGATGACCTTGTTTTCAATGTATTTGTATTATATCATAGTTGTTATACATAAGAAGTATCATGTTGTATGTTACTAGGTGTGTAGTGTATGCATGTATCTATGTCTTATTACTATTATATACATGATTTGAAGGAAGTACCCTTTTATATCTTTTGTATATATATATATATATATATATTCATATCATCTAATATACATACATAGAATAGATAGATGAAAGATATACACTATAGTAATCATAATCATAATCATAATAATGATAATAGTAAACAAATGTAATTGAAAGACTTAAAGCACACAAGCATTATAAGTTAAAGACATGGGATTGGTTCAAGGCTAACTATTTACAATACAAATACAAATAAGAAAATGTTTAATATATAATACTGATTGGTTTAACATAATATAAAAGTGTGTTTTATGCACAATCATTTTCCCTATAGCACATTAATTGTATTATCATTGTGTTGTTTATTTAAACGAATGAGAATATTTTAAGAAAAAAAAAGAAGTTAGAGTATAAATTTGATTATCTTATTTACATAATCCTTCATGGAGGAGCATAAGTCAATTATCATAAGTATTCTCTATTCAATTCTATCCGAGATAAACTTTTCGGTGAGATTCTAATGTATGGACGAACCAATCAGAAGCGTCTTAGAGATTTCAAGGTGACGGTGCCAACTTTAGTGCTGAACGATAACATACAATCAGTTCACAGGGAAGTTTGTACAAAACGTGATCATTGAGTGGCTATAACAAATAAAACGGTGAGACTATAATTTATGAACGAATCAATCAGGTATAAGATAATGGATCTCGGATTTTAAAGCGAAAGTCTTTTATCCATTTGGCTAAATAAATTTCTGGCATTATAGCTGATGTCAGTTCGTGATGAAAACCCCATATATAATTCCTAATTAAGGCAAATTATGACAATTGAAGTGGATAATAAAAGCACCAGTAACACTGTCTAAAACCAGGTACTACAATATATACGGATGATTGGAGAGCGTACAGACTCGTACATAGACTTGGTTATGTGCACCTTGTTGTTATCTACAAGTAGAATTTTGTGCACTCAACAATCGGAATGCACACAAACAGTATTGAAGCTATGTGATCGAAGCCGAAAACGTTTTTGAGACTTAATCATGGCTCCAGAGACCGACTATTCTGTAGCCGTATGGATGACTTCCTCTACTGCATGCATTGCGGTTATAGAACCTCTGAACCTCTTTCTAACCTTGACAAGTTTTTGAACCACGTATAAGAAGTGTATCCACTTTATTTCCTTGGTTTTGTATAACATATTTTTACTCTATACTGACTGTTTGCTGATTGGCTAATATTTCTCAAGGTCGCTTAAGATTCGTTCAAAGGTCGTCCATAAATTAGAATCTTTCCACCTTTCTAGTTGTTATTTATTATTTTCATAGCTGCTTCCAATTCACAACGCGATGTGTTCTTTGGTCTTCCTCTTTTTCGTTTCCTATCATGATTGTAAGTTAGGGTTTCATTTGTCATGCATTTTAATAATTACCTTAATTTATGTCCTGTGCATTTTCACAGGCTTTTCATAATTTCCTCTTCATATGCAAACTCGTTCGTTCTGTCGTACAGTAGGCTTTTACTGATGTTATCTGGTCGATGAACATTCAACATCTTGTGTAGATAATTCTTTGTAAATACTTGTATTATTTTGATGATAGTTGTAGTAGTTCTCCAAGTTTCAGCTCTATAAAGTAGAACTGTCTTGACGTTTGTATTAAAGATCCTGATTTTTATATTGGTTGAAAGTTGTTTTGAGTTCCATGTGTTGTTCACTTGTAGGAATATGGCCCTTGCTTTGCTAATCCTTACCTTTACGTCTGCATAAGATCCTCCTTGTTCATCGATGATGCTATCTAGATACGTGAATATTTCCACCTCTTTCAGAGTTTCTCGATTGCTTAGTGTTCTCACTTTTTCCGTTGTGTATTTTGGGGACTACTGGTCCATAGACTGTTGCTACACTGTTTGTCTTGACCTACATTTTTTTATGTGCATGGGATAGAAAAGCCATGTCATCTGCGAAGTCCAAAATTTCTAAATGATTTCGAGCTATCCATTGTATTCCATGTTTCCTCTCAAATGTTGAGGTTTTTATAATCCAGTTGACCATCAGAAGAAAGAGAAAGGGAGAGAGTAAGCAGCTTTGTCTCACTCCGATCCTCACTTGGAATGCGTCTGATTATCACAATAAGATATATTCTACGAACTCAATAGAGTAAATATTTAGCAACCAGTATGCAGAAGAAAAAGTGTATCTTTCCCTGCTAACATAACACTAACAAAATAAAGTCTTCATAAACGAAATGTTGAATATATTTAGCATGCATATAAATTAAACAAAATGAAGTCTCACGTAGCTATTCATACTAAAAATATAATCAATCCGAAAGATCTAAACAATCCGATACTAGATAACTTTAAGTTAATTACTTAGTTGCTTACGCCTGTTACTCCTAATGGAGCATAGGCCGCCGACCAGCATTCTCCAACCTACTCTGTCTTGGGCCTTCTTTTCTAGTTCTATCCAATTCTTGTTCATTTTTCTCATGTCTATTTCCATTTTCCGGCGTAATGTGTTCGCTGGTCTCACTCTCCTCCTTTGGCCCTGAGGATTCCATGTGAGGGCTTGTCTTGTGACACAGTTGGGTGCTTTCCTCAATGTGTGTACTATCCACTTCCAGCGCTTCTTCCTAATTTCTTCCTCCTCTGGGATCTGGTTTGTACTTTCCCACAGTAGGTTGTTGCTAATAGTGTCCGGCCAATGGATCCGAAGTATTTTGCGTAGACAACTTTTAATAAACACCTGTATTTTCTGGATGATGGCTTTAAGTACCAAAGAGTTAAGTGATGATCTTACTACATTGCTTGTTATAACTGAAGTAGGTAACCTTACAGAAATTCAGATTACAGAACACAAACATAAAAGCACGTCATTTTATTATTAAATATTACCTTGTAGAATTTATCCATTCATCATTTTCATCGTGCACGTAATAAGTAAGATGATAAACTATTGAGCAGGATCGTAGTTACGCACTATTGAGGAGTCTCATACTAGGACGAAATGGAGTATAGATGATTCAAAATATATTTCAACCATGAAAGTGAGTCTTTGATATTGTTTATAGTAAGTTGTACAAGTTACATAATTAGGTAATCATTAAGCATGGGGGGTTTTACGTAACACTGTGCCTGTAGCTCTTCTAGAGTTACTGCCGGTCCCAAGCCCGGGTAAAGAAGGAGGGTTGGGCATGGGGTTAGTGACCCTATCCCGTAGAAAACTAACTCGCTAAAAAACGCTAACCAGAAAAAATAATCCAAACCATTTAAACTATGCCTTGGGAGTTAAAAGGCCTTCATTTAGACGAATTATGACGCTTCATGGTGAAAGCCGAGTTCCTTCTGAAGCCACGGGGCCGATGCCCCTTCTAACAACCAGAGCAACAATTTTTATATTTTTATTATACTTCTATTAGCTTGCATTAAACGTTTGTAAAAAATCATGTAAGAAAGTAAATGAATTTCGTAAAAAAAGTATTTACTGCACAAAATAGTTCGATACGATACTTCTGCTTTCATCAAACATATAATAATCGGTGAAGGATAACTTGTATTATGTTTTTGGCTTAAAGTATTGATCTTTTTGGAATGTTACAGTGAAAAGTGTTAACTAGCACAAAGTCTAGATAAAGACCTGGTCATTAAGTTGGAAGACTGAGTCAAGTTGGATTCAAGATGTATATTTTGTCCTAGTCCAAGCTTGTCAGCTAAATAGAACTGGATTCGGACAAATAGGATGATAATTTAAAAAAATAC